AGACGCACAAGATATCGTGAAAGGGAGACACTAGACTTCCGAGCGTGTTCAGTCAGGCAGCGAAGACAATCCAGTAGAGGTCGGCATTTTAGGTCGCCTTCACGCCCCCTCCCCCTCACAGCCACACTCACGTAAGCCCCTCACTCACCCTCACCCTCCCAGTCACACTCACCTTCAGCTCTTCACTCACCCTCACTGAACCTCACGGCCCTCACGCTCTCTCGCCCCTCATTCCACTAACGCACTCACCGCGCTCACGCCCCTCACGCAACCAAGGCCCTTACGCCCCTCAGGCGCTCACCGCCCTCACGCACTTATGCCCCTCACGCCCCTGACGTCCCTCGCACCCCTCATGCACTCACCGCCATCACGCCCGTCACACACTCAAGGCCCTCACACCACTCGCGCACTCACCGCCCTCAGGCACTCACCGTCCTCACGCCCCTCATGGACTTATAGCCCTCACGCCCCTTTGGCCGCTCAGGCACTCACCGCCCTAACGGCCCTAGCGCGCTCACACCCCTCACGCACCCATGGCCCTAACGCCCCTCACGCCACTCACCGCCGTCACGCCCCTAACGCTGTTATGACCCTCACGCCCCTCATGCTCCTCACGCACTCACTATCCTCATAACCCTAACGCACTCATACCCCTCACGCACTCACGGTCCCCACAGCCCTCACGGCCCTCACTCACCCTTGCACACAAGAATTCTGGTACAGAAAATCACCAACCCTCAAATCACCTGTTAAGATAAGGGTGAATGTGGGTGACTGAGGGCCCTCATCAGTGAGGTTGGCGGAGGTATGCAATCCAGTAGTAATGGGTGGGGCCATTGATATTTGGGCGGGGCTTAGAGTGGTCCGTGACCCCCACCTAAATTCTGCCTGACTGCTTGAATATTGCATGATTTTTGAGTGTTTTCATGGAAAATTAATATAAAATATGTGCCCAACTATGTTTTAATTTTTTTTTCATTGCAGTGTCTCTTTAAGGTGAAAGACGTGTATGCAATATTGTTAAGTGCGTGGCGGATTTGACAAAACATGCGGCTGTCACGCACAGAAATGGGGTTTGAATTCCGCTCTGCCCGGATTACTACTTTATTAAATCTGCACTTTTCTAAGAAATTCTGGCCCATATTCTTCTGCCATCGAGTTTTTTAGAGCGCAACTCTTATGCGCCCGTTTCCGGGTTGAGCGGCGAAGCCATCGCTGTCGGCGTCGCCGTCGCTGTCGCCGTCGGCGTAATTGCGAGTTGCATTATGAGACGTTTCCCCGATAAAGTTAGCGGAGGCATTTCACCGCTAAATTTAGCGGAGAAGATTTTTCCACTAAATTTCTTGGAAACATTTCCCGCTATACACGGTGGGAAAATTTTCCCGCTGAATTTCGCGGGAATATTTAACGTTACGTGACCTCAACACCAACTCGCTAATTTCCCTGCCAGATTTATGTAAACTTAGCGAGGAAATTGACGTCACCTGACGTCAACACAAATTAAGTTTGACCGCTAAATTTAGCGGGAAACTTTCCCCATTAAATATAGCGGGAAAATACTCGCTCAATTTCCCGCTAAATTTTTCGAATATTTTCTTGCCCAATTTAGCTGGGAAATATACCCCGCTAAATTGAGGAGCAGTAGCAAAAGAGGAGGAGGAGGGGAAGGAAGGGCATACCCTCCTCTCCGTACCTTCACCTCCTCCTCCTCAGGAGCTGCGCTCTAATTCGGCATTACAAAGAATTGTAAACATATTTCTTTTTTTTTAGAACATTACTGGGCTTGTCGCGTGTATGAAAGTAGCGATAACGTGCTGCCTCGAGTAAGTCACCCATCCTATTGCCGACGAAAAATACGTGGAACATTTATCTTTAAGTCTGTAAGCACACCTTCGCCTCATTAAACGTTTATTTATTGTTCTTAATTTGTTTTGTTCTTTCCATTGGTGAAAACCTTACACCAGGCGGAAAGCGAATATAAATCAATACGTAGCAAAATTATGTGTCTGAAATGCCTAAGCTGGCTGTCAATCCTTAGATACGTCCCGCACGGAATCAAGCTCTAATATTAACATATGATCGATGCCTCAAACTCACTCACAACACAGTTATCTCTGAAAGTACCTAACTATAACTAACTCTAAGACAACTATAAGAAATATAGAAATGCGTACGATGACTTCTGCGAAATTTTTTTAGAAGTTCCGATGTTTTCTCCTTTATCTCAGTATCGCCATGAAATGAAAACGTAGAATGATAAAGTTATCAGTATATTGCAAACGCAACACACGAATTTTGCCATCTTTCCTTTTATCTTTGAACTTACCGCTGCTTTTTCACTCCCCACAAACACCGATTTGGCGGGGATTATTACACACGTAAATGTTAATTGTGAATTAGCCACTTGGGGACATACAAGTCAGCTAAAAACGCGTGTCGCATATTTCTGGCCATGATTACATATTGGAGCATTCTAGGAGTTTAATTATAATGGCCTACAAACCACATAGAGTTTTTTTTTTAACTAAGAGAAAACAAAATTAAATTTGTGGTATCAGCTGAATCAAGCTTGGACTTTAATGGCTATTGAGCTCATCAACAAGATATGATCTGCAACGCTAAAAGAACGACATTTCATTGTCACTTCTATATATGTAATATTGCACAGAAAAGCGGTATCTTAACTTCTTTCATATTAATTTATATTTTTTTTTCAAGATAACTTATAGAACATATTCTTACTTACAAAGGTAGCCCTATATTTAATGTTTATGAATATATATAGAAATGAATAGCTTTCCATTTATACATCTTTCTAGCTTATTTAAATAACCGTAAAACTATATTATTCCTCAAGTAGGATGTTAAGACTATCCCGGTCATGAAACAAAAAGCTTTATATTCAATGCAAGCCCGTAATTTTAATCAACACTGTTTTTATTTTAAAGAAGAAACTGATGATTAAAATTCTCTATGAAGTTTTATTTATGCCGTTTTAATAGGCCGCTACTAAGGAAAAGTGGCAAAATTGTACGCAAAAGGTAAAAACGCCAAAAGCTGTTATGCACCAAAAGCGTTTCGAAGATTGATCGCAATGTCACAATTTATACAGTCGGGATTTAACAATTTGTCTAATTTATGTGAGTGTGTTGAAGCTAAAAAAAACATTTTATATTGTTTATTGTTTCTATACAAAATACTCATGCGTAAATTAATTTTTATATGTTTGTATTTTCAGCAATCGGCCGTTTCTTATGAAGCAGTGTATCAATTCAATTTTTACTACCAAAATAAAAGCGTCACGACAGAAAGTGCAGAAAGTATACATATTGAGGTCACCCGTATTAAAAGTACGCAAGTGAGAAATATAGTGGCATAATGTAGTTCATTTGTTTTTACACCTTTTAAGAAAAACAACAAAAAAATAAAAATAGGTAAAAAAATAAGACTCACGTTTCGAAAGGCGGAAACTGATTAGTCATTTCTGAGCAAAGCCTGATCGAGAAAAACAGCCATAACGAGAACGTACCTAAAACTGCTGTGAAACTATAATACGTAAACCTAAATATTAGAAAAAAAAAGGTATTTCTTTATATTTTCATTCAGTTCCCTACAGCGCCCTTGCTAGTCCATTATTGTAGGGGGAAGACAGAACCAAATTTTCAAATGCAAAGTATATACGTATCGAAAAACAGAGGGCTCTGTGATGCGCGAGGATTCACAATGACAGCAACAGCAAAATATGTGGATGATAACACGACAGAAATTTTACAACAGAAACACCATGAAAAGTCGATAACGAAAAATTAACACCAAACAAAGACAACTAATTTAACAGAACATTTTGTAGACATGTAGAAAAAGAGAAACGGGGAGCAGAGATAATTTCAGCAGGTATGTTGCTTTAGTCATGTATTGTACGGGGAAATGAACTATAATTATATGTGTTAATTCTGCACCTGTATTTGCGGACTTTCATAGGGTGTTCTGTACGGCGAGACACGTTGGCTGGTTCGTTTATGTATTGCACTTTTTCAATGCCATTTCTGCGATTGATTACGCTATAAAATAAGGAGTCTAAGATATTTTGGGCGGTCTGCAAGTGAAGGCCACCCTAGTTTATTAGATATAACAAACGAGCTAATCTAGAAATCATAGTCGCCTGACACAAACCGGGCTGCACATTTCTGTATACGTTCTAGCTCAGCTATACTTGTCTTGGTGTAAAGATCGCACGCTGTGCAAGTATATTCGAAAATCGGACGCACGTTCACCATATATAAAGTTTCTTTGAATTTTGTAGGTGCCTGACTAAAGTCATGTTTAAGAAAGCTGAACGTGCGGCTAGCCTCAGAGGACAGATAACTAACATGAACATTCCAGGATAGTGCGCTGGAAAACAGAACCCCTAAATACTTATATTCTGGAGAAACAGAAAAGCTTGTGACGCCAAGGGGATATCATGTGAGCAGAGATCCTCGCTTCTTAGTAAACCTGACTAGATGGCATTTGTTTAAGTTTAGAGTCATTGTCCATGCTTGGCACCACAATCAAAAAGGGTTAAGGTCACTCTGCAAAAGCTCAGAGCCCGTTTCACACATGAAGTCATGGTAAACACGGCAATCATCGGCATATAGTCAGACGCGACTATAAATATTCACTGCTAAATAATTTATGTATATTAAAACGAGAATGGGACCGAAGACAGATTATTGAGAGACACCCGACACAACGGTTACATTTGACGAACTCAAACCGTCGAGGACCACATTTTGCTTGCTTCCAACTAGATAAGCTTGAAGCCATTTATCAAGTGCATCTGAAATATGAATGGTAGATGACTTTTGCAGCAAGAAAGTGTGTGATACTGAATGAAATGCATTTATAAAGTCTAAAAAGACACATCGCTGCATCAATAAACTATATATAGTTTATTGATGCAGCGATATCATGGGTAAATCTACTAATAGTGTATCACAAGAAAATCTCGTTCCTAAACCATGTTGCATTAGGTGAAAACAAAATGTCCTTTAAAGGGTTTATCAACCGATTAAACATATAAATCCCAACGCAAAGAAATTGCCTTGTTAAAGACACTGAACAGGTCAGGACGAGTCACTGATTGTGGTTTTTCTTTTTTCCAGTGGTCCACCACGTTTACAAGCCACAGGTGTACGACGAGTTTGTGATCTCGGGCAACGTCGCAGTGCTTCGGTGCAGCGTCCCGAGCTTTGTACGAGAGTTCGTAGATTTTGTCTCGTGGCACCGGGACGACGGTCTGGCCATCACGCGAACATCAAACAGAGGTAAGCGACGAGGCCTATGTCAATATCATCTGTAGACACTCAGAGTGAGAACGGCAGGAAACCTCTTTTGTTTTCCAGCCTTGAGAACCAGCTTCCTACCTTCGAAAACGCTTAAGAGACTTTTTAACCTCGAGCGCACGCGATATTACGGCGGAAGACGCTCAGTCATTGTTGTTCTGTGAATGACTGCAATTCAAGAGCTGTGCCTTTCTCACCGCCCCCCCCCCCCCTCCGCCTTCACCCCCATTTTCCCCTCCCACAAGCGTCCTTGCTATACACTATTTCACTCTAAGTCTGATGTCAACAGACGTTAACATCAGATGAAGACAAGTTAGCCGCACCGAAACTACAACGTTATGCCGCTAGTCCTCTCTGTGCCTTTTCTCCCTCCAGCTAAATGAACCACGCAAAGCGAATGCGCTATGGTCCTGCGCGTTTTTCTGTTTGGCATTGGTTTCCTGCTTTAGCCAAGAGGCGCAGCGGAAAAACCGGCTTGTAGCGCCCTCTACGATTTGTTTATCGCTATTGGGTAGTACAAACTAGCGCATTTGAATTTGTTCCTCGTTAAAACGTTAGCCGGCGGCATGAATTGCCCCATTTGATTGTTTTACTGCACAGAGTCGAGCCAATTTTTAACGAAGAAGGCTCCTTTCGTTCCTCAACACCTAAGCGAAGAAACTCGTGATGCGTGCTATAGCAAGCTGCGCCTACGCCGTACAAGAAGCCGCAAATTTGGTGTAGGCGCAATGTCACTCACCAAGAAAGCGAGCTTCCTGTGATCTCGAGCTTGAGGTGAGCGTTATGAGACACGTTAACGTGTTTTGCCAGCAAAACCATTTCAAATTGTAGTCCCTCCCTACAGCTTACGCGAACAGCTGATGTCCAATCTCAAAAATGTGCGAAAGCAGACGGAAGCGATCGAGCGGCGACTGACCGTCTGTCGGCCCCGAGCAGGACATTCCTACTGCACGCTGCGTCTTGAGCTCTTGCAACTTTTCTTGCTTATTTGCGCTGTAAGCTTGACGCAGTGTAAGATCAGCAGTTGGAGCTCCGCCTTTAGCACATGCTTCTTGCCCAATTAAGTGCGTTGGTGCGCGCGCACGCTTGTCCTTTCAAAGGAAAGCTTTTGCTGGAGGCGGGGTTTTTGCTGCCGATCTCACGTTGCAAAACATGTAGTTCAATCGGATCGCTCCACTGGTCGGAGTGTATAGCGTGTTCCTCTTCGTAAAATTCGCATGACACACGTTTTGATGCGTGACATGGCCAATTGATCGTGTGGCCGTGCTTAGCAGAACAACCTGGCGGGCGAGAAAAAAATCGTATCTCTTACTCAGTGCCCCGGGCGGCCCTAGTATCGTTCTCTCCGCCCGACTTCGTACGGTTTCAATGGAAATCCTTGGAAGTTTGCGACGGGGTTAAGCCCTTCTTGCTCTTGACACTTGACGACGCAAAAGCACCGTCGATTGCAACGTTTCGATCGAGGGCGCGCTTGTTTTTTCCCGGTTTCGGCATGCTTGTATGAAGGAAAAATTACTAGCTTGCGGCGAGTTCAGGTCCTTGGGGTAAAGTGCGGTAACGACTATGAGTGACACATTTTGAGTCGTGACCACACGAACGCACAAATAACAGTGGCGTGCAGAAGTAAACAGCTGCCCGAACAGATTTTTTTTTCTTTTTTTTTTGTGGGGCGGCGGGATTTGTACTACTCAGACACTCAATTACCCGCCACCGGAGGGCGCCAGGATACGTTCGAGGCTTCAACGCACGAGACCTATTGGTTTAGCGGGTCCTAGCAAACGTACCAGTGCCGTGACAGACCCTTTTGTCGCTAACTGATTAAATCAAACGAATCGTACACTCTTAGAAAAAAAGGGTATATTTCACACCCTTGTCCTATATACGATACCCAATACTTCAGTACGACGTACAGCTCGCTAACGTCGAACCGACGGTCCTAACTTTCACGAGTGGCTTCGTAGCCGAGTGGTACAACTTATAAAAATAGCTAATGTACCGGTTACTGAATACAAAAAAGTAATGGGTGTTTTCTTGGCCCTACTGCAAGACCTCGGTGTTTTTGTTTGTTTTTTCTACTGTAATCATTTATACGTACTTTAGCTGTTTAATGAGTTATATATAACCGTCCTCAAGCCCCTCCTAAACGTTGGGGCCGTCTGTTCGGTGTCAGTGCCCTGTACGTCGAGCTGAAATTGTTCGGTGTCGTACATGAGACAAGGGGTGTACGAATATACCTTTTTTTTTTTCTGAGTGTGTAGCATCGGTCGAGTATAGGGGATCTCCGCAGTTCTAGCTACGTTCAGTCAGCATCGCCATGAGCCAACGTTCCTCAACTGAGCTAATCTAGTAACATTGCCATCAGCGTCTCATAATGAGCGCGACTCTAACCCGCGTCGACGAGTCTGCCCCCGTACGGCAATTCTAGTCGAGCTTTGGTGTGCTGGCCGCTTGGGGCGACTTGTTAATGCATTAAAGATGACGTCATATGCAGTACTTGTCTTATAAGGTGGATTTCCTATGTATCTAGCATAGGGTCCTTGCGCGAGAACATGATGCAACACTACTTCTGGCTGGAAATCTCAGCGGAATCTATATCCTTGACTTTCATGTGCCATTTTCCCAAGAGATTTTTTTTTACCTTCATAGCAAAAGTAAATTGAGCTGTGTCGAACACTTAACCTTATCTCAAAATTAGTGCTAGCGGTTCGTACTAAATGCCAAATTTGCAGAGCTCGTCAATTCCTGTATAAAATGTGCAAGCGATTTTTGAAAACAACTAACGGGAAAGCGGTGATCGACAAAGCACAGGGATATTAATGAACTTGAATGGGAGTGAGGTAGACACTGTGAACGGGCCCTATCTCCTGTTGTTACTTCTAGAGCCTCGCTTGGAACGTTCGAGTAACTTCGGTACCTATTCCAAAACACTAGCGCCATATCTAGGTGGAAACCCTTAAATTTATTTTTGCGGTAAAAAAAAATACTGTTTTTTTACGCAAACGTTGTATTTCTATGTGCGCAGGTAGAATTCTCCCAATCATCCGAGCTCTTTCGCGCCGTATTTGATTCATGCAGCTAGAGCAGTCTGGAAGAAAAGGAAGCACCGGGCGGTACTTGACTTTAATTTGTACCAATATTTAGTTGCACGAGCCTGGGCTCAAAAACTCACGTCATCCCTTAGAAAAACTATGAATTTCCGTTGATTTTCTAATTTACTCTATGAGAATACATCAGAAACTCATATGTAATTTGTGTATGGGATGCGCGTTCAAAGTGGCCTCGGAGAACACCGCACACAATTCCAGAGAGGATAAAAACGGGTAAGCTTAGATTTCACCATCCTAGATAACTCCGCCCTCGTTCTCGAGCTCCGTCGTAGACGAAAACGAATGCCTGCTTTGCATTTTACCGACATCAAAGAATACGCTATAAAAAAATCCCTTGCGTTCGAACGAACAGCAAGAATCGCGGAAGGTGCCACCGGCAATACCGCAGTCGGCTTCTTGGAATTGGATTTTGTAGTCTTCGAGCATGCTGCTACGACATTGAACTAAAAGTGGCGTCATGTACAGGGATTCAATTGGGTGGTGTACGGTGACTTACTTTCGGCTTAAAATGTCGCGAGAAGCAATGTTTGTTATCTCTCGGCGTATGTCTTTGTATGTGCGAAAGCAGTTTTGAAGCTCGGTTAAGTTACTTTGCCTCACGATCCATCGCTTCCTCTGAAGTAGTCAGCGACACGAAGGAGCGTCATCTGGCGCCCTTTTGTTTGCATACCTGTCTTTATTCGCACATACGTGGACCGAGAAGGCGACTGTCGGCGATCTTAGTGATCCCTGTAGATACGCCCGTGCTAATTCGAAAGGAAACCTATCGGAGTAGGTTTGGGTTTAAGCGGTCAAAATATGTTCCCGATTGTACTCATTGAGTTGTGCCGTTGACAGAACCACTCGCCATGCTTAGGCTTCTGACGAACACCAAGAACGAGGCAAATAAATAAGCGTGTGCTGGTAATAAAATCGCAAAAGGCGCGGACGCTGTTTGTTGACATGGAGAAATGCGGCTTACAAAAAGGAAAAAAAAAAAAGAGCGTTTCTTCAGACCAATTTATAAGTGCGAATGATTTACAAATACTTAGGCTTAAACGCGATACCTGCGCAGCATGCCCACAAGTTCGCGGAAATGCATTGAAAACAACAATCGCACGTAATCGACCCTTTCATTATATTCCATCATATCGCTGTTGTAGCGAAGCTTTTTTTTTTTTTTTGTAATTTTTAGTCAGCCGTCATTGATATGGGCCAGCGGAACTGCGAGAAACCAGCCTCGAAATCAAGAAGTTCATGCCTATCACGAGTGAAACTGCTTTATAATAGGTCGATCACAGCAGTTATCCGTGTCTTTAAGTCAGCTAATATGAGAAAGCAAAAACAGTTAGGAATGCAGAATTGCCATATTACTGGAAGCTAACTTCTATCTAGCGTTGCAAAAAGGGATTTAATCATGGCCCACCGCTGAAAACTTGCGCTGTGAACCCCGCCGGGCACACTACACAAATGTAAAGCAGAAACAAAAAAAAGCAGCAGCCAAGTCGTCGTGATTCTTCGAGAATGGTTCGCAATCTGTAAAAATTTTGAAAAACATGAGATGAGAAAAAAAATATACAGAGGCAGGACGCATTTACGCTGGAAGGCTTAGGCTGGAGGTAGTGTCCGATACGTTCCTCATAAAACGCATTCCTGCATATGTCGGTTTGACCGAAAAATATAAACAAAATTTCACTTTTTCACATCGACACCTGCACGTGAGAAAATTTCTGGTGAATCATACAGCCGCCATCCGCTAAAACTCCCGCTGACGTCATTAATCACACTATCGCTCCAACCGCCGTCACTACGGCTAAGTTCATAAAGAAAAAAAAAAGTTTCGTTCGCTGAACTAGATTTGGAAAACTGCAATATTTCCCTCTACTGCAAACGTCT